TGAAAAATGGCTAATGTTTCGCCCAGGTAAGACTCAGTATCGGTGAAGTTTCTGACGAGTTGATGAATGCAGACAAATGTTATAGCGCCCTCAAACATTTCTTCTTGGCAACTTATCTTCATCGAAACATCCTCCCCAGCTATGCGAGATATCGCATAACAAATTTCATTACAGTCCTGTCTTTTGCTTCTCATACCCTTCAACAGGATAGATAACAGCTATTTTTGTGATCGGTCGGCTGTAGTCTCCATGAACTGTTTTCACCTTGACATTTCGCACATGTTGGTCTTGCCCTGGGTAGACCTCTGTGATTCTTCCAATGTTCCATTTCCCGCGTGGAAGACTCGCCTCTGCCAGTGCAACAATGTCTCCGACCCTCACGTCTCGTCTGTGGACACTCCATCTCTTTCTTGGGACGAGAGCTGGATGAACATCCCTGATCCACGTTTTCCAGAAGGATGTCACCATCTGCTGAACAAACTCGAATTTGTCCCTGGGGTTCTTGCTTGTTCGAAACGGCCCATGAGGTACTCTGTTCGATGCTCGCCCGAGCAGAATGTCGTTGGGACAGATGTAGCTACCATCATCAGGGTCAGTCGGGTGCCTGCCAATAGGCCTTTCATTGACGAGGTTTGCTACCTCTTGCAGACATGTCTGTAGTTCAAATGGAGTCAATCGCTGTTCTCCAATTGCCTTCTTGAGTGCTTGCTTACAACTCTTGACCAGTGCCTCCGCACACCCGTTTTGATGCGGAGCAAGGGGTGTCGTGAACTTCCAGCAGATTTGCCTCTCAGCACAGCAGATTTGCCTCTCAGCACAGAAGTCTTTCAACTCAGTCACATTCCATCCCTTCACCTTCTCGCGCAGCTGCCGTTTCGCCCCAACAAACTGGGTCCCGTTCTCACTCTGAGTCATCTTCGGGTGACCTCGTACAGCAAGAAATCTTCGCAAGACTTGAAGAAATTCAATTGTAGAACAATCAACAGCTACTTCCAGATGCACTGCTCTCGTGTTGAGACAAGTGAATATTACTCCATATTCTTAGCAGTCTTGTTTCGGCCCACTTTGACTGCAAATGGTCCGAAGTAGTCACAAGCTGTATAGTAGAAGGGTGGGGTAAACGGCGCCATCCTCTCACTAGGCAGACTGGCCATGTACTGCATCTCTGGCTTGTGTTCGAAAGCTCTGCACATAACACATCTGTACTTCACCTTTTTGGCCAAGCTTGTGCCACCAGTCACCGAGTACTTGCTTCTGACCTTGGTCGTAGTTGTTGCGACTCCATAATGTCCACGTTCATGAATGTCCTTTGTGATCAGGTATGACACGTGATGGCTTCTAGGGAGTAACACAGGGTGCTGCCTGTCATAGGAGAGCTTCCCATGATGACCTCTTCCACCAACAAGGATCATTCCATCCCTTACAAATGGACTGAGAGACTTGAACTCCCCTTTCTTCAGTCGTTCATGAAGTGGTTTCTGTGCTTCAAACAGCCAGTGGTTCTCAGCAGTGGTCAACTCCTCAACTGTTAACGGACCGTCATTGGCTCTGCGCTTGGTTTTCAAGTTTAAGATGAAGCGGAACACATATGCCGTTACCCGAATCAGCTTTCTCCACCTGGAGAATTTGTTGCAGTCTATTGCATCATGGTCATCTGCTTTCTTCATCAGTAGTACGGTCTTCTCCGTCCTCTTCTCTTTGTCCACCTCACTTTCTTCTGCTTTTGGCAAGGACTTAGGCCATTTCTCTTCAGGCTCTCTCAAGAACTCTGGACCATCTTTCCAGCTGCCCTGTAAGTCTTGGACTCTGACACCTCTTGATATTTTATCTGCGATGTTAATCTCTCCTGGGATGTGTCTCCAGTCGGACGGATCGGTTTGGCTCTGGATTTCTGCCACTCTGTTTGACACAAACGGCTTGAACTGTCGTGACTGCCTACGTATCCACGAGAGGACGATTACACTGTCTGACAGAAATATAGCTCTTGCGAACTCGGTTGATGTCTCCTTGACCACAGATGCATAGAGTCTACTCGCCAATGCTGCTGCTTGTAGCTCTAATCTTGGAATAGTTAGGCACTTCAGTGGGGACACCCGTGACTTGGCAGCTACAAATCGTACCTCAAATGTCCTGTCGTCATTCTCACATCGTGTGTAGGCCACAGCACCGAATGCCTCTTCAGAAGCATCGCTGAATACTATCAGCTCAACAGGACGGTCTGGCTTTGGCATCAGACATCGCTCGAAGGATACTCCATTGAGGCTCTCCAATTCTGTGAAGAACCTTTTCCATTCAGTCTTTACGTCTGGATGAAGGTCGTCATCCCAGTCAACACCCAGCTGCCACAGTTTCTGCATTAGGATCTTTTCTTTTATCAGAAAGGCACAAGAAAAGCCTATCAGATTGGATCAAATACTTTGGCCAACTCACTCAGCACCATCCGCTTTGTCAGGAGATCTCTGCCTTTAAGAGCCACTGCTTTCACTTGGTATTTCAGTCTGTCTGTCTCAGGGTTCCATACAACACCTAACACCTTCTGTTCTTCTGCAAGCAAACCTCCGATGAGTTGTCTTTCTCCAGCCTTTCCATCAGTCAGCTCTGCATTTGACACCCAGTCTTTCACCTTGAAACCGCCTATGTTCAAGACTGTGTCCATTTGGTCAGTAAGACGTGTAGCCTTCTCTACAGAATCTGTTGACGTGCATATGTCATCCATGTATGTGTCACGGTCTAGTGCTCTGGCTGCCTCTTGGTAGTTTCTGGCTCCTTCAGCGGCTTTTCTTTTCAGTGCAGTTAACGACATTGCTGGTGCTGGCATGTCTCCGAAGGTGACTACTTCCTTCACGTATACTACATCTGGTTGCCGGTCTTCATAGCTCCTCCATAGGAACCGGTGAACGTGCTTGTCCCTCTCTGGGATTCTGATCTGGTGGTACACCTTAGCAATGTCGCCCAACACAGCAATCGGAAATTGTCTGAATCTGAACAAGACTCCGAAGAGATCGTTGAGAAGATCAGGGCCCTTCTCCCAGTAATCATTGAGTCGGTGGACATTGAAGCTAGCGGAAGCATTGAAGACGATACAAACTGGTGTACTTTTCTAATTGGGACGAATAACTGGATGGTGGGAAATGTAGTGGACTGGATTGTCATAGGTTTCCAACTCGTCATTGCTCAGCTTTCTTGAGAACCCCTTTTGTTCCATCTCTTTTATCTGATCATCATAGAGTTGAGCGTTGTTCCCTTCTCTCTGTAGCTTCTTCTCCATGGACACCAGCTTTGCCATAGCCTGTTTTCTGTTGTCCGGCAGCTCCTCTGGGTTCCTCTTCCATGGGTAGGGAACAAG